ATCTGAAAGTAATTTAAGAAAAGCATTTGAAGAGGCTGAGAAAAATAGTCCAGCTATTATTTTCATTGATGAAATAGATGCTATCGCTCCAAAGCGTGAAAAGGTGACTTTTTTTTTTAACCCTTATTTTTCTTTTGAAATATATTTTGTAATATTTTCTTATCTATTCTTTTTCTATAAAAAAAAAATTTTTTTTTTAGACAAATGGTGAAGTAGAACGTCGTGTTGTATCTCAACTTCTTACACTTATGGATGGTATGAAGGCAAGATCAAATGTTGTCGTAATGGCTGCCACCAATCGTCCAAATAGTATTGATCCTGCTCTTCGAAGATTTGGTCGTTTCGATCGTGAAATTGATATTGGTATCCCAGACCCTACTGGTCGTTTGGAAATTTTACGCATCCATACAAAGAACATGAAATTAGATGAGGATGTAGATTTGGAACGAGTAAGCATATTATAATATTATATTATATATGAATTTATTATTATCATCATTATCATTATGGCATTCTCATACTAAATTTGGTAATATTTCTTTGAAATAGATTGCATTCGAAACCCATGGTTATGTCGGTTCAGATATAGCATCTCTTTGTTCTGAAGCTGCAATGCAACAAATCCGTGAAAAGATGGACTTAATTGACTTGGAAGATGAAACAATTGACGCTGAAGTTTTGGATTCATTGGCCGTCACAATGGACAATTTCAGAGTAAGCTATTTTATTTTATTTTATTTTATTTTTTTTTGTTATTATATATGACTTTTGTTTATAACTTTCCTTTTATTTATTAGTATGCTTTGGGTGTATCCAATCCATCTGCTCTACGAGAAACAGCTGTAGAGGTCCCAACAGTCACATGGAAGGACATTGGTGGACTCGAAAAAGTCAAACTGGAACTTCAAGAAACTGTACAATATCCTGTAGAGCATCCTGAAAAATTCGTCAAATTTGGCATGTCTCCTTCAAAAGGTGTATTATTCTATGGTCCTCCAGGATGTGGTAAGACATTATTAGCTAAGGCCATTGCCAATGAGTGTCAGGCCAATTTCATTAGCATTAAGGTAATTTTATTTTTATTTTTATTTTTTTTTATTGATTTTATTTTTGTGGTATGAATATTAAACATGGTTTTCTCTTTTTTTTTTTTGTTTTAGGGACCCGAGTTATTGACTATGTGGTTTGGTGAATCTGAGGCGAATGTTCGAGATGTCTTTGATAAAGCACGTGCTGCTGCTCCATGTGTAATGTTCTTTGATGAATTGGATTCTATCGCAAAAGCTCGTGGATCCAATTTAGGTGACGGTGGCGGTGCTGGTGACCGTGTTCTTAATCAAATTCTTACTGAGATGGACGGTATGAACGCTAAAAAGAATGTATTTATTATCGGTGCCACAAATCGTCCAGATCAAATTGATCCGGCTCTGCTTCGTCCTGGTCGTCTTGACCAATTGATTTATATTCCTCTACCTGATGAGTCATCAAGGTTATCAATTTTGAAAGCTACATTACGAAAATCACCTGTAGCTAAAAAGGTTGAAGAACGTTTGGATTATTTAGCCAAGAAAACAGAAGGATTCTCTGGTGCAGATTTGACAGAAATTTGTCAACGTGCGTGTAAATTGGCGATCAGAGAAAGTATTGAAAAAGAAATAAAACGTGAAAATGAACGTAAGGAAAGAGCTGGTGATGGTGAAGGTGAAGAAGCTACTATGGAAGAAGATGAAGAAGATCCAGTCCCTGAAATTACAATGTTTGTAACCATGCTTTTTTATTAAATGAAATTAAGATGTATCATATTTATTATAAACTTTTTACTATTATATTTCTGTTTTTTAGGGTTCACTTTGAAGAAGCTATGAAATATGCTCGTCGTTCAGTTTCTGATAGTGACATTCGCAGATATGAAATATTTGCCCAAAACCTTCAACAATCTCGTGGCTTTGGACTGAACTTTAAGTTCCCTGAAGATTCTAGCGAAGGACCTTCCACAGACGCACAAAATGGCGGCAACGCTATGGATGTTACTAGTACTACATTCGGTCGGGATGCTGATGGAGATGATGATTTATATGCTTAATTAGCGTGTTTATTATCGCTAGCTTAACACGTGTCACTACGGGTTACATTTAATATAAGCCGTTTAACGTTAAAATAATAAAATTGTGCGCTTGCACAGCGGTGCACCCCCTGTAATCACATTATCGATTTACGTGTTGTTATTTCATTATTCGTAGAGATTATGTAAATCTTATTACGCTTGAGCAATAATCTTTCATTCTAAATTAGAATTATATTTATACTATATTTTCGCGCAACTATTACATTTTTCTTACTATTAGAGATTATTGCTTCATTTGTACGTAATATTTTTCTTGGCATTAATGAAAGATCTGTATAAAGAGTTGCTTATTGCGAATCATGAGAGCTTTCATAGAACTTAATAATAAATAAAACGTTTCTAAATTAAAATAAAAGTTTTCTTTTTTAAAATCTAAATTTATAATGCATAACATCTAAACTCTGTTAACGATAGTATACTCATTATATGTTAAAGGAGATTTTTATTATAACCGCATACTAAACTACCTAATAAATCCAACCTTAACTATTAACATACAACAATCAAGAATGACAACTACCGTCAGAACAACCAAAACCAAAGTCACATTAGCGATACCAATAACGACAACACCAAGTTTCAATAACGCAATTCAAGTAACAACGACGCCAAAAAATATGGTACTAAAATCGACAACAATAGAGTTACTGTAACTGATTAATTTAAAACATGCATACTACTCGGTTTTATAATAATCCTTTCACTTTAATAATTATAATTGATGTTTTATCGTCATTTTATTATGATTTAATTATATTTTAATCGATTACATTTTAATCCAGCCCAAAAAATAAAAATTTTAATAATACTGATATATACGTAGATATTCGATATTATTTTAGTTGCGGGATGGGATTTTTGCTGTCGCGTCTTTTTTTCATCATTCACTGTGTCCGTGCCACGTTGGTTGCAGTAAAGTCCAAGGTTGAGTTGCCTATTCGAATTGTCGCCTTCAGAAGATCTCAAAACCACTCAAACGCCATTTTTCATCATTCACTGTGCCTAATAAATGTATCTTTATTAGAACAACTAAATAAAATAATAATATAATTAATTCGATATTACATTAATAAATATTTACTATTTTTTATTCGGATACTTAGTTTCAGCTATAATTAAATAAACAATAAATATTAATAATAGCTTACTTGTCCTAGCCACCACGTAAAGGTGTATCCTATGACTAGGAAAATATTTCAACAAAGAACTCGCAAAAACTCAAGTGAGCTGGGAATTTTATCAAACGTCAATTCCTCGAGCAATAACTGATTAGATAACCCCTGCCGCTTGTCAGCTTATGCTTTAAGGCTCATGTTGCCAAAACGTAACCCGCTCGAAAGGAACACGAAAAAATAATAAAATAAAAATATAAAAATACAAAAAAAATGTATAAAAAAGCTAGGGTTAAAAAAATCACAGAAAATTACAGTTATAAATTACAAAATTACAAAAATAACTACAAAATTATAAATTACAAAATAACTACAAAGTTGTAAATTACAAAATAATAAATTACAAAGTTGTAAATTACAATCGTAAAATTACAAAGTAATAAATTACAAATTACAAAATAACTACAAAGTTGTAAATTACAAAATAATAAATTACAAAGTTGTAAATTACAATCGTAAAATTACAAAGTAATAAATTACAAAGTTGTAAATTACAAAATTGCAAAATTACAAAGTTGTAAATTACAATAAATTCTGAAATTACAAGTAACTACAATAATTACAAAATCGTAAATCACAAAACAAAGTTATAAATTACAAAGTTATAATTACGAATTCCAAAATAATACAGTATTATATAAAATACACATGTAAATTACATCAAATTTGGAAAATTATATAAACACATAAAAGTTTGTTATAATCAATAAAAAAATATATAATATTTTAAAGAACATTTCAACGTTCTCTCAAGCCTTTGGTTGGAAAACATCACCTAAAGTAAAAAAAAAAGTGGTGTATTCAAAAAAAATAATAATAATAAAAACAAAAGTATTAAAATAAGAAGTTAATTCAGATTTTTGCCGCGTTTTAAAATAAAACACATACGCGTATTGGCCAATCAAAATACATACCAAATTAAGGGGTCGTCGGCAAAAATACTATTCCTGATGGATCGGCAATATCGTCTTGATGGAGTTAAAAACAAACCCTAATTCTAACTTTTTCATTATAGTAGTATAGCATTTTGGAGGCCTTTTTTAGAACCCTATCAGGAACAGTATGTATCAGGAACAGTACCGACGATCTATCAGGAATGGTATTTTTGCGGGTCGTCGAAAGCTAATAAATTTTCAGTCACATGTTGATCACAAAATTTAGCCAATGACGAAGCATGTGTTCGTGTAATGTAACACGATCAGGAACATTCAAAACATTGTTTCTCATCTTTTGTGCATCAACCAAATGTTTTTCTTGAGCAATTTTACTAAAAACACTTAAATTCTAAACTTAATATAGGTGCTGATTCAAACTCTAACGACTTCAAAAATTTGGACTTATTTGGTGATGTTTACGAATCACATGTGAAGATCTTTACGAATTTTGTACAACCAATACTACCAATAATATTCATCACGGCTGGTCTGTGTGATGTTTGCGAATACCAGATAAAGATCTTCTATTTAATCTAGCAAAATGTATCGTCTTTTCTAACCAATCAAGATAGTTGGAGTTGGAGATGAGTTGAAGATGAGCTGAAGATGAGAAATGAGTTGGAGTTCATTTGAATTAGAATATGTAGAAGTTAAACCAACATGGTATTATTTTTTTTATTATTGTTTTGTTTTTTTGTTTTTTTTTTTAAACGTTTAACTGCCAATAAAAGAAACTTTGCTGACTTTACTATTTTATTTTGAATTTTTGAACAATAAACAAAATGCCACCTAGTTTAAAAAATTTGCCAACACAAGACTCTCTACTTTATAATTCCCAAGCTTGTACTTCAAATTGTAACCCTCTTCAAGAAATTCAGCAGCAAAAGAATAATAGTTCGCAAACCAATTCTTTGGAGGTTGTTGATAATTATCCGAACATTTATGTAACTAGATTGTTTATGTTTATACAATATATACTTACTATATATTTATAACAAAATAGAAATTGAATTGCACAACAATAATAAATCAGCATTTTCTGGTGTAGTACTTTTTGGGTTTGATATTGAATGTTTAAAAAACAGACGGATTAATAATAATCAAAATCA